CAACAGTTACAGTCTTGGTTCTTCAGGTGTCGAAGTCGAGTTGCATTCTTCCATCTCAAATCTCTTGAGAATTTTTCTTGCATACCTTCTTTGATGCATCATCAAACCTCTACTGCTCTTGTAGAATTCGATGCCAAGGAAATATGAAATATCACCCAGATCAGACGTTTCAAATTCCTTGGTGAGATCACCTTTGAAGTCTTCGATATCACTTTTGCAGCTACCTGTTGTCAACAAATCATCGACATAGAGACATAGTATAAGAAATCCACTATTTATTTTACATATACTCCATGTTCAGTTGTGCACTTCACAAATTCCTTCTCCCTTAGAAAGCTATTTATATTCTTATTTCAAGCTCTTGGTGCTTGTTTCAATCCATACAGAGCTTTATGCAACTTGTACACCTTTCTCTCTTTGCCATGCTTTACAAACCCATTTGTTGTGCAACATAGACTTCTTCGTCTAAGGATCCATTCAGGAATTCACACTTCACGTTCATCTAACATATGTTCCAACTGTTTATTTCTGTAAGACCAACAACCAACCTGGTTATTTTGATTCTAGTCACAGGTGCAAAAACTTCATCGAAGTCTATTCCTTCTTTCAGGAGAAATCCTTTCGCCACGAGCCTTGCTTTGTGTCGAGTTACTTCCCCTTTGGGATTCATCTTTACTTTGTATATCCACTTGATATCAATTGCCTTCTTACCTTGAGACAACTCGACAAGTGGCCAAGTGTTGTTGTCTTTGATTGACTTCACTTCTTTGTTCATTGCTTTCACCTAATTCGAATCTTTCAACACTTTAGTTGCATTGATAAGTTTGACATCTGCATAGAAAGCATAATGTGCCAGCTCATCTTTATAATCAACCACATCATCTGATGTAATCGCACATCCTTGGAACCTTGTAGGCATGCATCTTATTCTCTGAGGTCTGCTTGTACATGGTTGATCTAAAACTTTCTCTTGTCGAACTTCTCTTTCAACTTGAGTTTTTGGTTCTTCAAGTAAGATTCTCACTCAATATTTCTTGACATTTTCAGTCCAATCCCATTCCTTAAGCTCATCTATGATCATGTCCCTGCTGATCACAATCTACTTGTTCATTGGGTCGAACAACTTGTAACCTCATGTCAAATGATATTCTACGAGGATCATCTGACTCGACTTGTCATCAAGTTTTCTTCTTAACTGATCTGGCACATGTCTATGTACAATAGATCCAAATACCTTCATATGACTCAAGCTAGGCTTTACGCCAGACTAACATTCTTCTCTTCTAGCTTCTTTGTTGGACATTTATTCAAAATATATGTTGTAGTCGACACAGCTTCACACTAAAACTCTTTAGGTAAATTCTCGCCTTTCAATATACTTCTCACCATATTCACGATGGTTAGATTATTTCTTTCTACAGTTCCATTTTGCTGTGGATTTTTGTAGGGTGGCACCACCTCATACACAATCCCTTCTTTTTCACATAATTTATTGAAGTCTTTTGACACATACTATCTACCACCATCAGTTCTTAAAACTTTAAGCTTTCGACCACTTTGTCTTTCGACCATAGACTTAAACTTGGCAAATACCTCAGTCACTTCACTTTTCTTCTTGATCAGGTAAGTCCATAGTTTTCGACTAAAATCATCTATGAATTTAACAAAGTATTTGTCACCTCTCATCGAATCCACCTGGATTAGTTCACATACATCAGAGTATATGACTTCCAGAATAGCCTTCGACCTGCTTCCTGCATCCTTGCTGAAGCTATTCTTGTGTTGCTTCGCCTGCACACATTCCTTACATACTTCGTTTGGAATATCGATTTCTGGAATTCCTGAAACCATATTTCTTCTCTTCAAATCTCTGATGTCTCTGAAGTTGAGATGGCCTAGTCCATAATTCCATATCCATTCATCCCTGCTAGCTGCAGTCAAAAGGTACCTGTGCTCCATCATATTAAGTTCGATCTTGAAGGTTCTATTCTGAGACATATGATCCTTCAAGATTAATCTTCCATTTGCGTCGATGACTCTCATCATCTTGTCTTTGACCGAAACTTTGTAGTTCTTTTCGACCAATTGCCTTATACTGAGCAAATTGTTCTTCATACCTGGTATGTACAACACATTAGAAATTTACTGACCTCTTGCCATCTTTCTTCATAATAATAACATCACTAATACATTCAGTTGCTAGAGTATTGTTATTTTCAAATTTTACCATGTTTTTCATTGAGGGTTTTAGATTAACAAACCAATCTTTCATTTTAGACATATGTGATGAGCATTCTGAATCCAAGTACCATTGGTCCTTGAATTTTTCTTCATCCCTTTTTGTAAACATCAGCAACATCTCTTGTTCTTCATACTTTGCGAACTTCACATCACTTTCTTGATTCTTTCGCTTTTCTGGACAATCACTAGAATAATGACCATACTTCTGACAATTATAACATTAAATGTGACTCTTGTCAGGTTTTCGACCACCACCTTTTTCTCTATTTGCAACACCACCTTTTTGGTTGTCTTGGTATGTTCTTCTCTAATTCGACATGTTTTCTTCGTGCTAATTTCCTCTATCAGTCAAATTGTTGTAGCCACCTCTACATTTGTTGTCGAACAATTTCTTTTGCCTTTCTTATCTTTTGTTGATTGAGCCCGCAGAGCCACATCACTCTTCGACTTGCATGCATCTCTTTCAGCCATTCTTTGTTCATGAGATTCAAGCGTCCCTTGAAGCTCTTCTTTCGACAAAGTTGACATGTCCTTCGAATCTTCTATGACAACTACCACATGATCGAACTTTGGATCTAAAAATCTCAAGATCTTCGAAACAATTGTTCTTGTTGCTAACATCTCTCCACAAGTCTTGATTTGATTCACAAGTTTCGTAATCCTAGTGAAGAAATCAGATATGCTTTCGCTATCTTTCATATGAAGCAATTCAAACATTCTTTTGTGAGTTTGTAACCTCACCTCTTTCACCTTCTTAGTGCCTTAAAATGATTTCTTCATAATTTCTCAGGCTTCTTTTACAGATTTTACATCACTAACCTTTTCGAAATTGTCTGGGCTGACACATTGATGAATTATAAAGAGAGCTTTATAATTCTTCTTCTTCAATTCTTTGTATTCCGCCTCTTCTTTTTCCGAAGCGTCTTCATCAAGTGGTTCTAATTCATATTTCACAAGTTCCCAAAGACCTTGAAAACAAAATATAACTTTCATCTGTTTGCACCAATTCTCATAGTTATCACCTTTAAGAATCAGAAGATTTGATGGAAAATTTCCACTTGCATAATTCATCGTCATTGATTTTCTTCTTCTCCCCTTGATCGCTCAACCGGAGCCCTTGATACCAGATGTTGGAAATCCACCAAAATCTATGATGAATTTCTATAAATCTTGATGAACAAGATTGTTATCACCACACAATAACGATGAAAAATATGAATGAAAGAAAGAAAAATAATGATTTTCTGTAGAGTTTCTCTCTACTCACAAACTGTGGAAAACTTCTTATTCACTTGCAACTGCAAATTCGTTGAATACAACTTGATTATAAATAATAAGGGTTACTCCATCTATTTATAGATTTAGGTTAACTTGCTCTCTAAGCCAAAATCCAAAACTGTAAAGACCAAAAAATATATTTTGAAACTAAATAAAATCTATCTATTTTAAACCTAAATCGGATCTATCTATTTTAAATCTAAATCAAATTTGTTTGTAATAAACTTCTTTCACACTTAAACACAATCTTTTCGATACTTCCTTATTTTCTGTCGAGCAAACTATTTATTTCGACACAAAAAATTATACTTTCAACAACAAACACTCAGAAAATCAAATAAGTGAAAGTCGTGCGTGTGAAATTTACTGTTTTGAATTATGTGTACATGAGTCTCTATCATTAGTTCCACTTTATGTATCAAAAGATTCTTTGAGCTCTTTCATCTTAAGAGTCCACCGTGATCAATGAATCCTAATTTAGTGTGCCTCTAGGTCCTGTCCATTCTCTAGTCCATTTTAATGCGGATGACTTGAATGACCCTACATATATTTTAATACTTATGTTTTTTTTACTAGTACTATATATTACATTAATCTACTATTCATTTATTTTATTTTATTTTTAATATTATTTATTAATTAATACAATATAACTTTTAATTATTTTATATATTCATTATAATCAATTATTATCATTTTGTAACCAAATTGTACATGACTTTGTCTTATGAAAGGCCATCAACAGTCACAACACACAAGAGCATCAACATTCGACACACAAAAACTCACTTCAGAAACAAATGACTATGTTTTCCTTCACAATAATTAACAATATGCGCCCAACAAAGGTTTCGTCGAAACAAGAACAAACCCAACAAAGCAACAAACAACCCCTTTATTCTCCATCTTCCCACTAATACACAGTAAGCTTTCTTCTAACTTCACTTTCTACCCTTATCTTCATTTTTCCAAAACACCCCTTTTCTGTTTCCATCTTGTTTCAATCATTTCCGTTTCATTTCATTCTAAATTTCAGTTTTTTCATCATTTGGGTATTCTAATATGTTGTTTTTATCGATAATTGACATAACCCAGATTGGTTTCTTTAGTTATATATATTTAGTTATTTATTTTTTAAAATTATTATCGGTATCGATGTATCAGTGTTGATGTCGTGTTTTTGGTGTATGTGTTTCGTAGCATAATTGTAACAAAATGTAGAGATGAGGGAAACAGGGAACTGTTTGGTAGAAATTGAATTAGTGATGTTATGTTTATTGGTTCTGCTATGAACTCGTGTAACCGCGAAAAACTAAAATGCTATAAACGATGATTTAGCGTATTTTAGTTGTTCGCGATTGCACTTGTACTATAGTCATTCTTAGCGTCTGAGAGTATTGTGCTTACTGTTGTTTCTTACATTATGTATTATCTCCATTCTTTAGGAGTGAGGACTTTACATACAGTTTCCGCCTAGAACGATGTTATCGAATTGTACGACAAGTGCGAAAGTTATATCCATATCCTCATTTGATTATATAAACTCAAGAGTTTCTGAAGTTGGTCTCGCTGCATTCTTTTACAAAACCGAATTCAGCCATAAGCGGTGCTGTTTCGCCTATAACTTTGCTCAACCATGTTTATTCGTCGGTTTCAAGTAAGTTAGTAGCAGTTTATGGTAATGATAATCTATCCTGCATAGTGTTGAATGAGAGAAGTTGTACATTGAATCCTTTTTATTCCTTTTCAGGAAGATGAGTTGGTCGGTCAAAAGCAGCGTAAACGACGGAAGTTTTAGTCCGTCAAACGGAACTAACGGAAGGACACGTATAATCAGAGTGATTCAAGAGTTTCAAACTAAATTAGGCTCTAAAATTGAAAAGGTAAAGAAAAATCTTCCAATGAAACTTCTTTTCTTCTTGGTTGGATTTTATTGCGCAACCGCGTTTTCCACGGTTATTGGACAAACCGGGGATTGGGATATTCTATCTGCTGGCTTAACTGTTGTTGTTGTGGAAGGGATTGGCGCTCTCATGTATAGTTCATCTCTTCCTTTAGTTATTAGAAGCTTAATATCAGTGTTTAATTATTGGAAAGCTGGCCTTACATTGGGACTTTTCTTGGACTCTTTCAAATATTAATTTGGTTTTATATTGGATGCAACGATATCTTACACGAAAAGTGAAATTTCTCAACTTTTTTTTCATCGTGAAGCATCTTTACACTGACCCTTTGGTTTTCCATCACAAGCTAGAGGAATCGTCAAGTTATGTAAGTACTGGCACTTGAGATTGAAGACGTGTTTGGTGTTCCACACCTACACGACACTGACACATGTGATTATATTCCTGACATCGGATCCTTGCTTGCGGGATCGTTTCCTAGGCATTCAGACAAATTGGAACATAAAGAGGTTCACTTTTATGTTGAGTTGCTAGCATGAGCTATGTTGCGGAAGAAACACAAACCGATGTCAGCCAGGTGGCCTAGTTCGACTCGAATTGTGCAATTCAGATCAAATACAACTTCATATAAGTCATTGTGGATCATCTTTATTGCAAGAAGTACAACATGCATTAACAATACTTTTTTTTTTTTATTCAATTATATGTTTGTTTGTTGATATCAGTACAAGGTTTGTGGATCTTCTTAATAGTTGTCCATCATGTTTATACATAGTGTTAATGTTTAAGGAAAAGAACATGCATTGTATTTTGTATGTAAACTTTACCTCTTGAAAGTAATGTTAATTTTGATTAACTTGTATTGAGATAATTAGCCTCTTTGATTCTTGCAATTCTTATCAATGAAAAAAATATCAATATTACAAGGGATTGCAAATTTACTCAAACTGGAATCTCAAGATATATTGTGACCTTAATCTCCTTCACCATCCTCTCAGTAGAAGAAAATATGTATCAGCTAAATTATTTTGAAATATGACACTAGTAATGTTGAATGCTATGTTAACCAATTAGATTTAGAAATTTTTGAAAGTTGTGCTAATTAATATTCCAACATGTTGTGATTATTTGGACGCTAGAATCAACACATTATTAAAATGGAGGAAGTATTTAAGTTTGCCTGTGATTAGTTTGTGGATGCAATTGCTATGAGTTGTAATTCTGGCCTCTCAGAATGTGGCGGTGATACTGTGGATCATTGCACAACCCTTCTATTAATTGGTCTGAAAATTTTGGAAAATAACTCATGGAAGGTAAAAAAAATGGAGAATTTCTTAATGTATCATGTGATTTATTAGAACATCTCATAAAAATATATTTATGTTTATAAGTTTCGGAGATACATCTTTGAATGCATCAAAGTTCAACATATTTGTGAATTAGGTTCTAAATCAGTTGAATAATTTATTGAAGATACATCTACGTATACATTATATAGATGCATCTTCGAACACACTTAAATCTAGTTAAATTGTAGACTAAGCTTAACTTCACACAAATACGCGCCAGAGCCCCTTTCCCTTTCCCTTCCCCACTTACTCAAACTCTTTTAAAACTCATTTTTTCAAACACTCTCTAACTCCCGTTATCTCAAACTCTCTCATAACACATTCAATCAACATCAATCTTTATCAAACATCTGACTTCAAACAACATTGAGCAACAACAAACAACATCAAGACATTAATTGTAAATTTTTTGTAAACTTTATTGAGTTTATTTAAAATTGTGTAGAAGTTGATTTTTAGGTTATGAAATTGAAAGATTTTAAGTGTTTGTTAACTTAGACCTAATGAGAAACGAGTTAGATAGGTATTTTTTATGACCAATGAATTATATTATATGTTTTATAGGTTTGCATTCCGCAATTGATGGTGGTTAAAGTTGCAGAAATTTCTGGAGATGCATATCCGATATTTTTTAACGTTTACCTAAAAATCTGAGATGTATCTCCGTAAGCAGTTTGTTTGTAATTGTTGTACCCCAAAATTTGCCCTCCCATTTCCTCAACATTTTTCTCATCACAAGACATTTAAAGATCAAGATACAATTAGGGTTTCCTCTGCTCAAGACTTCTCCTTGCACTGTGGACTCAAATTAGGGTTTGTGTTTGCCTAAAGATGTTTTGACCTAAAATACCTAAGATGACTTTCATGCTTCATATTGGACTCCCAAGTTTACCCATACCAAGTTTCAAGTCTTGATTCCAAGTTTTTCCCAGTCAATTGGACAGTTGACCTAGAAATCAGCTGTATTGGGGAAAAAGTCAACTGTGGCCAATTGACAGTCAAACCTCATGAAATTTGATCCACATCAACATTTTGAATTCACATGGACCATTTGATCAAGTTTGGATCACAATTCCACAAGAAATTTGATCAGATCACCAAAAGGGCAAAATGGTCATTTTTAGGGTTTTGACTGCACTAAGGCAATTTTTGACTGTTTGACCTAGCCAATGGCAAACCAAGTTCACCTATGGACTCAAGGACCCCATGGAATTATCTTGACATGTTCATCAAGCTCAAAAGATCCCAAGTATACAAGATTGATAGTTGAATTTCCCAGTCAATTGATCAATTTTGACTGTATACTGAAAAGTCAAACTTTGACTTTTTGGTCAAAATCAAGAGTCAAGATTCATTTTTCATCAAAACATGCCAAATTATGAAACTTGTTCACCAAGAAATCACAAAATGCAAATTAGGGTTTGAAAATGGAATTTTTCATAACTTAGAATTTTTCTAAGTTATGAAAAACCCTAATTTTTTCCCAACTTTGCCCCATCTTTTCACCATGATCCATTGGGATTCAAACAAAAGTCAAAACATGAAAGTTGTAGCTTGTTGCAAAATCTACAACTTTGATTCACAAAGTTTTCTCATTTGAAGCTTGTATCTCAAGTTATGATTTTTTGAATAAGGGCACTAAACCATCTTTTAACTTAGTGAAATTTGACCTATTTTGACAAGGTTTTCTACCCTACTTCAAGGCCACTTTTCATGCCCTTCCAATTGGAATTTTGATTTGCATTTCAAAGATGGATTGTAGTACACATTCCAAGCTTTCCAAAATGTCCAAGAACTCATCAAACAACCTCATAACTTGGGAGATTCGAATTTCACAAGTTGGCAAAAATTCACTTTTGTTCTTCATCAAGACATGTTCATAACCTTGCCAATTTGAAATCAGTTTGCTTTATGCTTGATTACAGGTCCTTGAACCATTTCATACTCAATAATTTAATGCATATTCAATGTGTTAAGGTCATGTTCTTTGTGTTCTAACATTGCATAATGGTTTAATCCTAAACTAGATAAAGTGGAATTTCCATTTTTGAAAAGTTTAGCTTTATGTCAATTGGTAAATCAAACAAGTACATAGAGGATCTGCTTAGCACAAGATTATGGGCATAACACACTGATCAAGAGGAGTTGATGCAGCACATTAGGGGGTCCTATACTGACCTAGGACACCAATTTGCTTTTGGTAGCTTAAGTGTGAAGAAAGGTCCATAACATATGCTATCTCTCATATCAGCAAAAGAACACAGCACAAAAAGATATCAAACACATTCCATAGACCACATTGAAGCTTTTGCACGAGCCATTTCCCTTTCAAACACCCTCCATCTCAGAATCATCCTCAAACTGCACAAACAGGGGTGCCCCTGCAGTTTGAGTGCAATCTCTCAATCCCTTCAAGCATTTCTGTCCAAACCTGTTCCTCTACCTTCCTTACAACATATGCAAGCTATCCAGAAGCTAAGGCACGATCTGTAGTTGCTCTAACCACTTCCACCATTTTCACATCTTTGGCTTGCAGGTGAAGTTCTATAGCTTGATACAAGAAGTTTCAAGACAAAGTGAGCATTGAAAAAGCATCCCTGGACTTCAAGGAAGCTTTTCCAATCATTACATTGCACTGAAAGTCTCTCATTCTCCACATAGAAGTTCAACTGCACAGGTAAAAGTTTGAATTCGTATCTCTCTTATTAGGCATCTTTAGTCTTAAGTTTGTGAAGAAACAAAGTCCTACTCATAGCCCTGAACATGTACATAGCTTTACTTTTCATTTCTTTTGTCTGAGTGAAGAGAATTTGAGCTCTGAAAATGGTAGAAAAACTAGGTCAGAAAAGAGGGGGAGAGAAATTCTCTCTCATCTGGGAGAGATAGGTCATGTTCTTTATATGGTTGAAACCGTCTCTTAATGCTCTACACTTTTCATGTTATGAGTTTTGCTTGAAAGTCCAGGAATCCAGAGTTAGAAAACGCGTGTTTTGTGTGAAGAAAGCTGTACAGAGGTTGAAGAAGAAGTGATCTGGGCTGGGCCTGGATTTGTTTCCTTTTCACACCCCATTTTTTTGGTTTACACCCCCCTGAGCCCATTTGCTCATTTTTTGACATTTTTGACTTTTTCTTTTTGGATTGACTTTGTTTATTTTTTCTCATACCATTAAAATTTTTAAAATATTTTTTCCACCACTTTTTGTATTAATGGCATATTTATTTGTTTATTTCTTTTGTTATATACAAATATATATATATAAACTATTATTGAAATAAATAGAAAATAGTGTAGATACATTTTTATTATTTTATTTACTTTATGAAAATATTTTACACAAAAAAATATATACTTTACTTTTTATTTTTATTAAAATATTTAAATATTTATTTTAGAAAAATACATATTTAGGGTTATATATATATATATTTGATTATTAATGTATTTAAGAAAAAGATATAAAAATACTTGATCTTTTTTTTATTAACATTTGATACAAAAAAAAAATACCTTTTTCACAATACACTTCATTTTATTTTATTTTTTATAAATAATAAATAAATAGTAGAATTAAATTAGATAATAATATCTTTTATTTAAAAATTAGGGTTTTTACCCTAAGTTCAAAAATACTAAAAAAATAAATACACTTTTATTTTCTTTTTCCTTTTACATAAATATTTTCTCATACACATAAAAACTTTCTTTTTTACATTTCACATATTTATTTTATTTACATTTAAATTATGCAATTTATTTACCATGCAAATATCCAATTGTTGTAATAATTTAGATTTAAATTCTTGTCAATATCCTCATTTGAACATTTGTACCCCCCTTCCCATATTTGGTTGTGTAATAGCTTAGTAATTTTAATTTCGCACTTTATT